GGGGGGGATATATTAAGGTAATCAATCAAATGGAGCAAGGATCATGTGGATTCTTGACTGTTGTGAAACTACTAACCTAAGGCGCCAGTCACTATGAAATTGATGAAGCAAACAGTAAGGAATACTGATGTAGCAATACTTGTGAACATAAGCTTTGATATATGGATTCAGATATAGACTATTTACCATAAGGACCCCGCACATATCATACTTCACCGAAATGCTTGGCAAAATTAAATGTAAGCATCTAAATATTTTCTCTATATTGATGCTGGATAGAGACAAGTTTAAGTACATTGGTTAGATTCAGCTTAAACTTTGAGACATCAAATTTTATATTTTGTTTTTAAGTTGGCCGACAGTTGCAAGCGAAACAACAAAATGAGCAGGTAAGAAGCAAAATTAAACATAAGATAGAAGTATCTATTAAACACAAGCTCTAAAAGAATCCTAAGTTACCTTCTGATGTTGGCGGTTGGACTCGTCACATATCCAACTCATTTCAAGTTCAAATGCCTTGTCCTTTGCCTCATCATGTACTCCATAAATTCTGCTTGCAAACAAAACAAATTGTCAAAACAGTGAAGGAAAAAAATTGAATGAGAGGCACTGAAGGGTTAAATTCTACTCCCTCCTTTCCAATTTATGTGAACCTATTTGACTGGACACGGAGTTTAAGATAAAATGAAGACTTTTGGAATTTGTGGTCCTAAACAAGTCAAAAATGGGTCCAGACTCCAGAGTATCTGTGCGGTTATAAAAGCTTCTCATTAAGGGCATAATTGGAAGTTTAAGCTAAATTGTTTCCAAATTTAGAAAGGGGTCATTCTTTTTGGAACGGATCGAAAAGGAAATAGGTTCACATAAACTGAAATGGAGGGAGTAGTAGTCAATTGAATCGGCAGAAAACCCTTTAAAATTGTAGAATATTTCCGAGAATAACTCTCATATGGATGACAGTACTCTAGAGATCAAATTTTGTACAACTAGCATGCCAATTGAAAGAAACATGCTAAAGTCATAAATTGATTTCTTAATTCTTTGAAAAAATTTGTAACCACATATAACCACTTTGATCAAAGAACTATTGCAGCCTTTCAGATTACGACAAGGGGTGCTAATCTCCCTCCGTTCCAATTTATGTGAACCTATTTGACTAGCCACGGAGTTCAAGAAAGAAATGAAGATTTTTGAAACATGTGGTCCTAAACAAGCCATAATATTTGTGTGGATATAATTCTTTTCAAACTAATGGCCTTAAACATATCATAGTATTTGTGTGCTCTAAAAGTCTCTCATTAAGGGTATAATGGAAACTTTAAGTTAAATTGTTTCTATATTTAGGAAGGGTTCATTCTTGTTGGAACGGACTAAAAAAGAAATAGATTCATATAAACTGGAACAGAGGGACTACTATTTTAGGCAGAACTCAGATTACCCTGCATAAAGCGAATTCGCAGATCACAACACATTTTAGTACACTATCGTTTGGAGGTAGTTCTCAATGTCAAAAACAAGTCAGATCATGTTGATACATACAATTATGTCATGAATTTTAAAGTTCGAAAAAAATATCAGCTCGTCAACAGATGTTACATGTGCCTGCAAAGCTCAGAGAGGATTAGTCACCTCTTCCTTCCTTCACGGCATAGTTGCAACAGACCTTTGGAGCTTTTTCTATTCAATTTTTGGACTAAGTTGGGCCATGCCATAGTCAATTAAAGAAGCTTATGAATGCTGGTGTTTTTGGAGAGCTGATAAGGCCATCAAAAGGATCTGGAAAATGATCCTAGCAGCTACTTTTAGGTGTATTTGGCCAGAGAAGAATTGCAGATGTTTTGATGGAATCTCAACTCCTACATACTCCCTAAGAGCTAGATGTTCAATTAGCATCTTGCTGGAGCACCCTAACCTCTGTAAATAGTACTGAAAATTATTTGAACTTCGTTATCTCCCTGATCTTCGGAAGTTCACTCATGTATCGGAGCTAACTACTACATATCTTTTGTAATTATTGCATCTTCTTGATGCCTTATTAAAGAAGCCTTCTAACTTCATAAAATGAAATTTAAAATATTAATAAAAAAAAAGTTTGATAGGAAGAATTGCTTACATTTTGGCCACCTCAATCACCCCTTGTCGACAGGTCATCTCCGATAACTTCAATTTTTCAATTTCTCTGAATGTATCACATTAATATTATGTCATATCAGCATAAGGAAAATTTAGCCCAAAGCAAGCCAAACGAATAACATATTAAAATGCTAGCAGATAAGGAAACACTTAATTGAATAAACCCACTATCAGTTCCCGATAGCTCTAAAAATTTAATAGTAATTCACAGACCTAATAAAACCTGATAATTCTAAAAAGTTTATAGCAATGGTCCACCCTTTCAGGATGTTCCAGTATGTCCTTTTTAATATATATTGATAGTGTTCAAGCTAACTTGTGCACACCTGGACCAATCCACCAAGCAGTCTGTCCAGTCCACAAGCACAGGTTGCCAAAGAAATCATGCTCACCAAGGCTAGAGTAGATGGACTTACACCAGGTATTGCACTTGGTGTAGTTGTGACTCAAACCTAATATCTCTGGGTTGTTACATCGTCATCCCCTTAGGACTGACCATGCATGTCTTTTATGCATGCAAAACTGCTAATCTTTTT